GTCAGGGACATCTCCAGAGTACTGATGAGCAACGATATCAGTCTTAAGACTAAGGTGAACCTGATCAAGGTCATGGTCTTCACAATTTTGTTTTAGACAGCGGGACAATGATTAGGGATGATAAGAGAATTAATGCCTTAGAGCTGTGGTGCTGTAGAAGAGTGTTGAATATACCATAGACCTCTAGGAGAACAAACTGGCTCATCCTAGAGAAGTTGAAACCAGGCTACCATTGGAAAAAAGGATTCTGAAGCTCCATCTGATATACTTTGGGCATATTTCAAGGAGGGACCAGTCCTTGGAGAAGGACATTATGCTTGGGATGGTAGAGGGATAGTGCAAGAGAGGAAGACACTTAATCAGATAGATTGACTCAGTGACTGGGGTAATGGGAAAAGGCTTGTTAGAAACAGTAAATTTGGCTTAGGAGAGAACAGGGTTCAGAACTGTTGTACATAGGGTCATTATGAGTCACAAATGACTCAACAGCACACAACAGGCACCAGCATGCACCTGGAAGTTGGACAATGAGTAAGGATGACAGAAGAATCAATGGTGGTCTTAGAGAATAGTACTGAATATCTTATGGACTTCCCAAAGAAGAAATAAGTATATCTTGGAGAAAATGCCATCAATATGCTTCTTAGAAGTGAGGTTGATGAAGCTTCCTTTCACATACTTTGGACATACTGTTAGGAGGGGCCAGAAAAGATGTAAAGTTAAGAGAAAAAAAAGAATCAATGAAAAAAAGAAAAAGACCCTCATTAGATGAATTGACACAGTGGTTTCAACAATAAGCTTGAACATGGAAGAGACTGTGAAGATAGCAGAAAAGGGTAGAATTTTGTAACAACAACTTGGCCAACTGACTGGAAGAGATATATATTTGTCACCATTCCAAACAAAGGTGACCCAGTGGAGTGTGAAAATTATCGAACAATATCAATGATACACCCGCAAGCAAGATTGTGCTGAAGATTATCCAAAAACGACTGAAATAGCACATCAACAGTGAACTGCCAGAAGTCCAGGCTGGGTTTAGAAGGGGTCATGGTACTAGGGATATTGTAGCTAATGTTAGATGGATCTGGGCTGAGAGCAGGGAGTACCAGAGGAATGTCTATCTGTGCTTCATTGATTATGCAAAGGCATTTGACTGTGTGGATCACAACAAACCGTGGCTGACTCTGGCACCAGCAACCAGGAAATTAAAAGACGTTTTGCGATGGGAAAGTCTGCTGTTAGGGACCTCTCTCGAATACTGAAGAGCATAGCGTCATTCTGTAGACTAAGGCGTGCCTGATACAAGCCATGGTCTTGCCTTTACTTGCTATGCATCAGAAAGCTGGACCAAAACTAGGGATGATAGAAGGAGAATTCATGCCTTTGAACTGTGGTGCTGGGGAAGAGTATTGAATATACCATGGAATGCTAAGAAAACAAACAGGTTTGTCCTGGAGAGGGTTAAACTGGATTGCTCCTTGGAGGCAAGGATTCCGAGGCTTTGTCTGACATACTTTGGACATGTTGCAAGGAGGGACTGGTTCTTGAAGAGGGACGTCATGCTTGGGAGGGTAGAGGGACAGTGCAGGAGAGGAAGACTCTCTATGAGGTGGATTGATTCAATGACTGGAGTAATGTAGGTGGGTGTGTTGGAGACAGTGGGGCTGATACAGAATAGAGCAGGATTTAGGGCTGTTGTACATAGGTTTGTTAAGAGTCACCAGCAACTGGACAACACATAAAAACAACAGCAACTGTAAATTTTCTTCAAGTTGTTTGAAAATGAAAAAGTTTAAAGTACAATACATTAAAAATACACAATTTCTATTGTTTTAATACTATATTAAACACATAAAAAGAAGTATACATCAAGGTTAATAGTGCTTTATTTTCTTTTTATTTGTTTTAATAATCATTAATTATAATTAAGTTTTAGTCATTATATCAAAAGTAATTGGGATGCCCAGAAGAATTTAATGAAACAACATTTGAGCAAGAGCCTATGGTGATGAAGAAGTTCAAGCTATTTTGAAGGAAATAGCAAAAAATAAGGCCCCAGGAATAGATGGTATACCAATTGACATATTTCAGCTAATAGATGTTGCCCTGGACATGCTCACCAAGTTGTGTCAAGAAATCTGGAGAACAACCACTTGGCCAACTGACTGGAAGAGATCTATATTTGTTCCCATTCCAAACAAAGGTGACCCAACAGAGTGTGGAAACTATAGAACAATATCGTTATTTCACATGCAAGCAAGATTCTGCTGAAGATTATCCAAAAACAACTGTAACAGCACATCAGCAGAGAACTGCCAGAAGTCCAGGCTGGGTTTACAAGGGGTCGTGGTACTAGGGATATCGTAGCTAATGTTAGATGGATCTTCGCTGAAAGCAGGGAGTACCAGAGGAATGTCTATCTGTGCTTCATTGATTATGCAAAGGCGTTTGACTGTGTGGACCATAACAAACTGTGGCTGACTCTGAGAAGAATGGGAATCCCAGAACACTTGATCATGCTAATGCAAAACTTATACTTGAACCAAGAGGCAGTCGTCAGGACAGAGCAAGGAAACACTGCATGGTTCAAATTGGGAAGGGCGTACACCAGGGATGTGTCCTGTCTCCATACCTCTTCAACCTCTATGCAGAACAGATCATGCAGGAGACTGGAATCTATGAGGAGAAATGCGGCATCAGGATTGGTGGAAGATCTATCAACAATCTACGTTATGCTGATGACACAACCCTGCTTGCTGTAACTGAGGAGGACCTGAAGCGCTTGCTGCTGAGGGTTAAGGACTGCAGCTTTCAATATAGAGTGTGGCTCAATGTCAAGAAGACAAAGATTCTCACCACTGGGCCAATTGGCAGCATCAGGATGGATTGTGAAGAGATTGAGATTGTTCACAGCTTTAGTCTGCTTGACTCCACAATCAACACTCTTGGCACCAGCAGCCAGGAAATTAAATGACATATTGCCATGGGAAAGTCTGCTGTTAGGGACCTCTCTAAAGTACTGAAGAGCAACGGTGTGTCTCTGGAGACTAAGGTGCATCTGGTACAGGCCATGGCCTTTGCAATCACTTGTTATGCGTTAGAGAGCTGGACAATGACCAGGGAGGTTAGAAAGAGAATTGTTGCTTTTGAGCTTAGGTGTTGGAGAAGAGTGTTGAGGGTACCATGGACTGCTAAAAAAACAAACAGATTCATCTTGGAGAGGGTTAAACTGGGCTGCTCCTTGGAGGAAAGGATTCTGAGGCTTCATCTGTCATACTTTACATGTTGTAAGGACAGACCGGTCGTTGGAGAATGACATCATGCTTGGTAGGGTAAGAGGGCAGGCATAGGAGGGGAAGGCCCTCTGGGAGGTAGATTGATTCGGTGACTGGGACAATTGGGATGAGTGTGTTGGAGACAATGAGACTGGCACATGACAGAGCAGAGTTTAGAGCTGTTGTACATAGGGTCGCTATGAGTCGCAAGTGAGTCAACGGCACATAACAACAACAACAACATTATTATATTAAAGAAAATTTTACTCAGTAATAATTTCTTGACATTACACCAGATACTCTTAATAAGTAAAAGTAATTACATTATAGAGAGTTTCTGCGCTAATTATATTTATTGTTTACTAGTGACTCAACATTTAAATAATCTCACAAGATGTTTTTAGGAGCATAGTTTATATTAAAATATAGTATATTTTCTTTATTATAAATCTATAGATGTAGATGGCACAACCTTTCTCATTGGATGTGAGGGTGTCTTGAAGCATTTGCTGCAAAATATCGAACACTGCAGCCTTCAATATGGATTTCTTTTGATGTCAAGTAAACAAAAATTTCTCATCACTGGCTCCATAGGTAACATCACGAGAGATGAAGGAAAGATTGAAACTCTCAACAACTTCATTATACTGGAATCTGCTTGGTACAAACTGCATATCAGGAAACATTGCTTTGAAGAGGCCTGCAGTGAGAAAGCTCTCCAAATTATTGAGGATTAATGATGTTAATTTGAGGACTAAGCTGTACCTGATTCAGACCATGTTCTTTTCAGTCACTTGGTATGCATCTGGGAGCTAGACAATGAATAACAGAAGAAGAATTGATGCCTTTGAATTCTCTAGTACTGTAGAAGTGCTGAATATCCCATGGATGCAAAACAAACAAACAAAGAAAAACAACCAACCAAACAAAAAAACCTCAAAACAAGTCTTGGAGAAGATACAGCCAGACTGTTCCTTAGAGGCGGTGATGTAAAAACTTTGTCTCAAGTACTTTGGGGGTATTGCTAAAAGAGTTATTCCTTGGAGAAGACATCATGCTTGCAAGAGTGGAAGGACAATAAAGGAGAGGAAGACTTTCAACCAAATGAATTGACACACAGTGACTGTGGCAATAAGCTTGAATGTGTCAGAAACTATGAGGATGGCACAGGACAGGACAGGGTTCTGATTTGTTTTTCATGAGAACACTATTGGTCATACTTGACTGGATGGCATTTAACAACAGCAACAATAACAATATCTGAAGGAAAAATATTTAGGGATGTCAATATATTTATATTTGGTTTGTCTTTTTTCTTTACTTTCATAAAAATGTTTGGCATATATGTGGTTATGTGAGCAAACATGTGTTTATGTGGTCAGGTTAAAGGAACTCTAGTGATTTATGCAACTTAACATATTTATTTAGGTTAAGAAAAGAGCAGAAACAGAATGAATATAAAACAATGAAAATTGTATGTCTGTCCATTTTATAAAAATTTTTAAAATAATTTTATTATTTATTAAAGTGGGATACAATACCTAAAGAATAAAAGAATGAAAGAAATAGTAGTTGTTTGTGACAAAAATAAGTCATAAATTGAACAGCACATTGAGTAGAATCAACAAGCTTATAAGCAAAGTCTCTTCATGAAAAACATTAATAGAATTTTGTGATACTTGAATTTTATTACATTAACAAGAATTCAAATGTGTATTATCTTTACATTTTAATCAAGGTTTTTCTCAGTGCTACTTTAACATCTTTGTTCCTTAAGCTGTATATCAGAGGGTTAAGCATGGGCACCACATTAGTATAGAAAATGGATGAAACTTTTCCCTGGTCTATAGACTTGGGAGAAGAACCTTTAAGATACATAAATATTCCTGACCCAAAAAAGAGAGAAATAGCAGCAATGTGAGAGCTACAGGTACTGAAAGCTTTTGATCTTCCTTGAGTGGACTTAATTTTTAAAATGTTAAGGAGGATGAAAAGATAAGAAATTAGGATAGCAAAACTCGGCACTGTAGCATTGAAACATACGACAATGATGACTACTACCTCATTGACATAGGTGCTCGTACAAGACAGCTGGAGGAGTGGGAGGATGTCACATAAGTAATGGTTGATGACATTAGCATCGCAGAAGGTTAATCTAAGCATACAGCTTGTGTGGGCAATGGCTCCAGCAAATCCCATTCCATACACAGAAAGTGTCAGTGCACAAAAAAGCTGATGTGACATGGTGACTTTATACAGCAAGGGATTGCAAATAGCCACATAACGATCATAAGCCATTGAAGTCAACATATAGCACTCAGAAATGACAAAAAAGACAAAGAAAAATAGTTGAGTCATACACCCAGCGTAAGAAATGATATTCTTCTTTGATATGAAATTCATTAGCATTTTTGGAGTAAAAACAGAAGAGTAACAGAAATCAATGAAGGACAGATTGGAGAGGAAATAGTACATGGGAGTGTGAAGGTGAGAATTTAGTCTAATAAGAATGATCAAACCAAGATTTCCCACCACGGTCACAATATATATCATTAGAAACAAGTAAAAGAGAGGTTGCTGGAGTTCTGGAAGATCTGTTAATCCAGCAAGAACAAATTCAGTCACTAAGGAGTTATTTTCAGTTAACATTCTCATTTCTGGAAAGCTGTGAGGATATAAGAAAATTCCATTAATGGAGGGGTTCTAATTGGCAGAATTCCAGTAAAACTTTTTTTGTCTAGTAGAGTTTTATGTTCTGCCACACATGTCCTTTACTCTGTCTCTTGTACGTATGAGTATATAACTTTCATCGTTTTTCCCAGATCTTAGGGTTTCCAAAGGCAACTTTTTTTTGCAAGTGGATGCTACTCCTGCTTCCAAGCTTGTTTTAATTGGACAGCTCCACCAAATACTGTCCTCCATGGGTAATCATTATCATATTTGACACATCAGTGTCACAGCGTTCAGCATCACAGCAACCATGAGTTACCTCTGTACAATAAATGGACAGATCAGTACTATGCGATTTAGAAGAATGTTTGGCCAAAACCAATTAAAACAATGCCTGAGGGCTACAATTAAAATCACTGACCTTTGACTTGATAGCATAACTTTATATCGACCAGGCCCACAGTTGTTGTTGTTGTTATGTGCCATCGAGTCACTTGCGACTCATAGTGACCCAATGTACAAGAGCTCTATATGCTGTTCTATCCTGTGCCAACCTAGCCATTTCAAATGTACTTATTCCCACCGTTCCAGGCACAGAATCGATCCATCTCACCTAAGGTCTTCCTCTCCTTTGCCACCACTCCACTCTGCCAAACATGATGTCCCTCTCCAAGGACCAGTCCCTCCCTGCAACATGCCAAAAATATGTCAGACGAAGCTTCAGAATCCTTGACTCCAGGGAACACTCTGCCTTCACCCTCTGCAGGACAAACCTGTTTGTTCTCCTAGCAGTCCATGGTATATTCAACACTCTTCTCCAGCACCACAGCTCAAAGGCATCAAT